AAAATAAATTAAAAGGGAAACAAAAGGTTGAAGTTAGTGAGCATGTCTCGGCCATCTTTCAGAAGAAGCTTCCAAAAAAATGTAGCGACCCAGGCATGTTCACTATTCCTTGCACGATAGGGGGCACCACATTTCCTAAGGCCTTATTGGATTTAGGGGCATCTATAAACGTCATTCCTTTTTCCGTTTATAAATCCCTACAACTTGGCCCACTACATCAAACCGGTGTAGTGATTCAACTAGCAGATCATTCTAGTACTTACCCAAAGGGTGTAATAGAAGATGTGCTAGTGGAAGTAGAGAACATGGTTTTTCCTGTCGACTTCTACGTCCTCGAAATGGGGAATGATGACCAAACAACACCCATCCTTTTGGGAAGACCCTTCTTGAAGACCGCAAAAACAAAAATTGACGTGTCTAGTGGTTCATTAACTTTAGAGTTCGATGACCAAAAAGTAGAGTTCAATATCTTTGACTCTACGAAAAACATATTAAAGATCAATCTCTTTTCTCTTTGAATGTTTTTGAACCACCCACGCCAAATATTTTAATCGAGTTGGGAACAAAGAAGAAAGGTCGGCCTTACTGGAAAAGGCTGAAGAAAAGAAATGAAGGAAGGGATGTTCACGATCCCACATAAAATAAAAATAAAAATAAATAAAACGATGTGCCACGACCTTAAATAAGGCGCTTCTTGGGAGGCAACCCAAGTCAGGTGGTTAGATTTTATTTCCTTTTTGTGTGAATTTGAGAGAAAAGGGAGAGAGGGAACTAACCACATATTTTTGGAGAAGAAAAGAAAAAAATGCAGGTTTTATGCAACTGGAGACATACTCGATCGGGTACAATTACATACCCGGTCGAGTACAGGTCTAAAAGAGAAACCGAGCTCAATACTCGACCGAATCAGAAAATTTTTACAAAAACCAGGCATACCCGATCGGGTATAATTCAATACTCGGTCGAGTATGTCTGGAAAATCAACCCTACCAGATCCCTGTCTCCGAGACCCGATCGGGTATAAACCTTTACCCGGTCGAGTATAGCTGGAAAAAAGAGTACAAACAGACCCTGCCTCGGATACCCGATCGAGTACCCATGTATACTCGACCGGGTATTACTGGAAAAAGAACTTCATCGGTCCCCTGTCTCCAGTACCCGATCGAGTATAGGGTGATACTCGATCGGGTACCCCTGCGATTTATACCCAAACAACACCCAAAAACACTTCATCTTCCCCAAACAACCTCCCAACTTCGAACCCCTCTCCCCCAAACCTCCATTTTTCAACCTTCTCTCTACCATATCTCCCTCATTTCTTCACCAAATCACCCCATTCTACCACCAAAATACTCCCCTCACTCTCCTCTCCATATCTATACCCATAAATCCCATTTTCCCCAAACGTCCACAAAATCCAAAAACCCTACCCCAAATTCGAATTTTTGGATTTCAAGCTCAAAAGCTTCAAAAATGGCTCCAAGGAAGAATAGGGGAGAGAGTTCAAACACCATGGCACCTATTCCGGGCTTCGAGGACCTCATTCCCGCCGACAACGATCACCGAGCTAGACTCCTCTCAACGATTAAAAGGCAAGTAAAACCTTCTCGTTTTCTATGCCACAATGCTCTTCATGAATTGGGTGTGTATAAGAGTATGAAAAAATTCTTTCATGAGTTGAACATGGATCGTATTTTCAAAATGAAATACAATTCGAATGAAAGAATTATCTATGAATTCATGAGTTCGGTGCAATTTGAAAGTGATGAGGCCGATTTTCGGGACGATAGGCTCAAGTTTCGTTTGTTTAACCAAAACTATTCGATAACTAAGCTTGAGTTTGCCGGGCATTTTGGCATCCCCGTTCCCTACGAAAGAGACATCTCCGATACCACTATTTTTGGACACTCCCTATGGACAAAGATGACCGGGGAGGTGAACTTTAGCTCCTCCCAAATGTATATTAGTCATGTCCAACACCCCGTCCTCCGGTTATTCTTGAAATTTTTAGCAAATTGTTTGCTTGGACGTCCCAACAACCACTACACTAGGATTGGGGACGTATGTTTGATGTCTGTGGCTTTATTCCGTCGTCACGTGGATATCAATCTGTGCAATCTTATGTGGGCACATTTAAAAAAGGAAAGCTTAGCAAAGGGAGCCATTGTTGTGGGTGGGGTGGTCATGCACTTAGCAAGTAAGTTCGGGTATACGGATAACTCTCCTATACCCGACTATTGCTTGATGGATATGGGTTGGTTAGGCCGCTCGGGATGCACAGCTTTCTCCCACACGGTTTATATTGGGGACCAACCGAAACACATGTACAACTGGATCATACACCTCCAACATGTCCAATACTTCCTAATGCCAAGCCCAGACACCCCCAAACTACGCTACAAACCGGAGTTCGAGGTGCCTCACTACCTATTCCCTCACGCCCTCCCACCACATTTTCAAGAACCTCAAGCCCAAGACCACCCCGAAAATCAACCCGACCAAGAACCTCAACCCGAGCAACAAGAACCCGAGGATGCACTTCACCACATGCCCGAACAGAACCAAGCTTCCCCACCTCCCGATTACTTCCAACAACTACTCGAAGGTTTCAACAAAGTTACCAATGAAGTTGGAAGATATCGGGAGGAACAAAGGGCGGGATTTCAAAGACTAGAGGAGCAACGGGCCGAAGACAACCGAAGGTATGAAGAAGATCAACGTAGGTTCTATGGACCTATGTATTCTTACATGGCTCATCATGGCCAATTCCACACCATGGCTCAACCACCCCCACCCCCCTCTTGGTATGACCCCACTCAATGGGGCAACTTTGGAGGATCTAGCTCCGGGGGTGGAGGTTATGATGGCGGGGACGGCGGCGATGCTCATATGGGCGACGGGAGCTATGTAGGCGGCTTTGGAGGCAGTTACTATGGCGGCGAAGGTGGGCACTAGGGACAGTGCTTGGACTGAGAAGGGGGGAGACACCTCATGGTATGTAATTTTATTTTACCCTTTGCTATGCATGGATTTTTCTTTTACTCTTTGTAAACAAAAAAAAATAATAATAATAAAAGAAAAGAAATGCTAGTTAGGTTGAAAACCCAAGAATGGGCAATCTAAGCAAAAATGGCTTATAAAAAAAATGAGTGAGTTAGTGAGGATGGAAAAACAAAAAGAGATGCTAGGATGAAAACCTGAAAAGGCTCCTAGGCAAAATGAGAGATATGAGAGAAATATTTGTTGTGTGAAGGAACTCATTTGATCTCTTGGGAGAAAGAGGAGAAGAAAAAGAAGAAGAGAAGAAGAAGAAGAAGAGGCAAGAAGATGGAGCATAGAAGATCATAAAACCCAAGAAGAATGTTGATTGTAAAATCATTTTTATTTCTTGGTGATCTTAGTTCCTTTCTTTCTTGAACTCATGGAATGATCTTAAACTGTTTGAAACAATTTTACTTTACTCGAGGCCGAGTAAAGGACTATGTGTGGGGGAGTTGATACGCTTGTAATTTCCGTGTGTTTATTTACTTTTTTAGTTAGTTTTGGTTGTTTAATATTTCGGAAATTACACACTTTTGGTGTAATAGTTTAGTTTGTTAAATTCTTTTAAATTGTTTAGATTAGGTTTATTCTGAGCTTAAACAGGTCCAAGATCAATCAAATGATCATTGGTGAAGGAAGGTGCAAGAGTACAAGACAAAAAGAAGGAAAGTTCCTGATTTTGACCTGTACTCGGTCGAGTACACCTTATACTCGATCGAGTACCAATACTGATTTTCAAGGATCCGATCTGGAAACAAAGGAACATGCAAGGAAAGATTTGGCCACGTTCTATTGTCATACCCGATCGAGTACACCGACATACTCGATCGGGTATACATATAATTTCAACCCGACTTCGGTCGAGTATGGCTCAAAATTCACCATTCTACACATACTTGATCGAGTATATGTATATACTCGATCGAGTACCCGACCTGCACCTCAAAAAAAGCCTATAAATACACCTCTTTTCCTTCACTTTTGGAGACCAATTCCTTTATACTCTTAAGCTCAGTTTAGAATAGCATTTCTTTATATTTCTTTTAGCATGTTTAGTCTCCAAATGAGGAGCTAAACTTCCATTTCTTGGTATTGCTCTTGAAGCTTGTTGATTATTAAAGTTGTGAGTTATTTTCTTAACTTCTTTTCCTTGAATATTAATTCTTCCTGTAGATACTATTTCTATATCAATGTTGGGGAGTGTTACTAAGATGACAATTAGTTAACATCTTGACATTGGTCTTAGTAATAGCTATTCCTTCCTCTAGGTTAATATCGGGGAGTGTTACTAAGATGACAATTAGTTAACATCTTGATATTAACTATAGTAGGATTCATCTTCTTTAATATTCTTCCTTGAGTATTAATTAATTCCTATTCATATTTCATATTAATATTTTGAACATTACTTAAAGGATCAACTAGTTTTGTTTCACATATTAATTATTACTAGAAACGATCAATGAACCGATGGTTAATCGTTGATAGTTTCACAAGTAAGTAACTTCGGTTTATTAATGCACGGTCGTGGTTAATAAACTTAAGAGGGATTAATTTTGTTGGTTAAACCGAAACCGTTGTGTTAAGGTTATCATTCTCAATTGATTTCATCAAGGAGTTAAAAGATTAAATGCTGCTATCAAGTCGGTATATGGCGTTGTTCTATACTTGACTAATAGTAAGGGTTATTAATGAACGGTCGTTGTTAATAACTATCCTCGATGAATTGGATATACTCCTCGATTGAGTATTCGAGAGGAGATAAGTTATAGATATAACAATGATTGACTAAAATATATCAACAAGTGTAAAGTAGCAATACCAAGTCCCTTTTATCTTTGAATTAAACCACATAACTCGTTCATCTTCGTGTTTAATTATAATCAAATCACTCGATCAAACCCCCCCCCCCCTTTATTTACTAGTTACATAAAAAGAAGAGTTATTCCTTTCTCTGTGGATACGAACTCTACTACGCTATACTACGTATTAGTGCATAGTATTGAAATTTATTTTGAGTGCACACACGACAAGTGCACGTCACACACCATCGTTAACCTTCCTTCTACTTAACGGAATAGAAAGTATGGCCTTCCTCTCTTCCACCGAGAATAAAGCTTCAATCTTTTGGATATTCCAACACTCCCCATTCTCAGATAAAAGTGCTGCCACATTCATGTCGGCAATTCCGGCCGGAGGAGGTGTGTGAATCCTGCCATCTCCCACCCCCGGCAGCCACCGTTCCCTCCACACGGACGTCGTCTGTCCATTCCCTATTTTCTTACGTAGGCCTCGTTCAATTAACTCCTGAGTTTGAATCAAACTACTCCACACAAATGAGGGATTACATCCCAATTTAGCCTGCAAAAATGTAGAGTTAGGAAAATATTTTGCTTTGAAAATTCTGCTCACTAACGAGTCAGGGCTTTTAATAATCCTCCAAGCTTGTTTCCCAAGCATCGCTATATTAAATTCACGCAATGACTAGAATCCCAATCCTCCCTTCTGTTTTGGGTAACAAAGGGATTGCCAGCTCTTCCATCGTAGACCCTGTCGAGAAAGATCTGAGCCCCGCCACCAATAGCCATTCATGATGCCCTCTATCTCCGAACACAACTCTTTTGGGAGCAGGAACACATTCATCGCGTATGTTGGCATAGCCTGAATAATTGTTTTTAGCATGATTTCACGACCCGCCTTTGAAAGGAACTTGTTATTCCAGCTTTGAATTCTCTTCAGAATCCGCTCTCGTAAATAGCCCAAAATATCCATCTTCTTTCTACCTACCAATGCCTGGAGGCCTAAATATCTCGGATTAGTTTCCTCGCTGCTAACCCCCAAAAAACTGCTCACACGAGTTCTAGAATCTCCACCCAAATTCGGACTAAACAGAACCGAAGACTTTTGGTAATTGACTTTTTGACCCGAGACTTCCTCATAAGATTGCAAAAGATTTTTAACCGTTTGGCATTCCTCATCTCGAGCTCTGAAAAAGAGGTAACTATCGTCAGCAAAAAACAAATGTGACACTCGAGGCGCCCCTCTCGCAACTGATATACCCACAATATTTCCCAAACCCTCCTGTTTGCGAATCATGGCACTCAGCCCCTCCGCGACGAGGATAAATAGATAAGGAGACAGTGGGTCTCCCTGCCGCAAACCTCTTTTAGGCTTAATAGGACCCACCATATTACCATCGAACGGAATATAGTACTCCACTGAACCAATGCACTCCATTATTAAATTTATCCACTTCTGGTCAAAAGCCATAATTTTCATTACAGCTTCAAGATATCCCCACTCAACCCTGTCGTAAGCTTTGCTCATGTCTAATTTAAGAGCAACGAAATCATCTTTCCCCTGCCTCTTTTGTTTTAGATAATGGATAGATTCAAAAGCCACCATAACATTATCTATTATTGATCTGCCAGGTACAAATGCACTCTGATTTGTAGAGACCAACTTTTCCAGGGTACCTTTTAGTCTATTGGCAAGTACTTTGGCAAAAATTTTATATAAAACATTGCAAAGCGCTATAGGCCGCCAATCGCTTAAAGACTCTGGCTTACCTTTCTTTGGGATCAGGACTATATTTGTTTGGTTCACATCCGTTTGTATCCTCCCTTCCGTGAAAAGGTGCTGACAAAATTTCACAATGTCCTCCCCCAGAATGTCCCAATAATGCTGGTAAAAACCCGGATTAAAGCCATCCGGCCCTAGAGCTTTCTCGGGATGCATAGAGAAAACTGCCTTCTTCACTTCAAGAGCAGTAACCGGCCTTAATAAATTTTGGTTCTGAATTGCAGAGACTCGTGTTATGCCTTCCAGGTACCCAACTTCCATGTTGGTATTACTGGAACCAAATATCTCAACGAAATAATCATGAACCATTACGCCTAATCTATCTCTATTCCTTTCCCATTCGCCACTCGGAAGTCAGATCCCTTTCAACTGATTCCGCCTTCTTCTTTGCTTTACCGCATTATGAAAAAAATTTGTATTTTTATCACCCTCCTTAAGCCAAAACTCCTTTGCCCGTTGTCTCCAAAATGTGTTTTGCTTCTGAAGTAGATCTAATAACACATCTTTCACCCTCTGGAATTCAGAACCATTCCACTACCCCTCTCTGCCCGCAAAGCCGCCAGCCTGTTTTTGCAGACTTCAATGCGAGTCTGGAATCCAACACGCCGAGACCTGCTCCAACAATCAAGCTCAATACCGCACCCTTTTAACCTTTGCCAAATATACAAGCTTTGGGAATTCAGCCAAGTTCGTTGTATAATCTCCCTGCATTGGTCATCTTGGAACCACATATTTTCAAACTTGAAAGAGCGTCTTCTCCGACTCCTGCCCTCCCTAGCAATTCTTAAATACAACATGAGATGATCGCTGGATGGACCCTCTAGCGAACTAGCTTGATAGCCAGAGAACAGCGATAGCCATTCTTCATTTGCCAACACTCGGTCAAGCTTTTCCTCAATCCATCGTGGTGTCCCTCTACCTCTTTCCCAGGTCCATGGGTAACCCTCGAAGTCAACATTAGTAAGTCCACTGCTCCAGAGTGCTTCCCTAAAGCCCCTGATTAACCATTGAGGTTGAGGAGTTCTACTTCTCCTCTCACTCTCGAACAAGATATCGTTGAAATCTCCCATAAGAAGCCAAGGTTTCCCTGAACTCTGAGACAGACGTTTAATTAGCTCCCAAGACTCACGCCTCCTGCTGCGTTCAGGATATCCGTAGTATCCGGTGAACCTCCATTGAGGTTCGTCCTGTTCAAGTTTAACTAAGCAATCAATGAAGTTGCTCTCAAATCCCAGAATTTCGATCGCGATGTTTTCACGCCACATAATACAAAGCCCCCCCGCTCTGCCCAATACTGTCAACTGCAAATCAGATCAATTAGCACTTGCACAGTAGCCAGGTTACCTAAGCCGCGGCAATTCCAGCTAACCACTGTCATGTCTCCTCCGCTCTATCCACGCTTACTAAACCCAATCTGAAATCAAACGCCACCGGAACCCGACGACGCCATTCAGCCAAAACTAACCCTAGACAATACGCTAGGACTTCCAAACACCGTTCTTCGTTAATGAACGAAAACGGAAATCGAACCCCAGAGGCGGTAAGCCCTGGGGAAGAATCACTATTTAATTTTGCAGAATAGATAATCCACAATGAGTAATATACCCCTCTTAATCATCAAAAGCTATAGTTGTTTGACTTTTAATATAGATGAGTTATTTATTAAGTAATACTCCCTCCGTAACTTAAAAATCTTCTCACTTTCCTTTTTCTTCCGTAACACAAAAATCTTCCCATTTTTAAATCTTCCCATCATACCCTCAATAATTCTTAAAATAATACACTATTACAACTACTTTTTTTGGATTTATCCTACATTCCACCACATTATTCCACTATTTTCCCATCATACCCTCAATAATTCATATCATCTTTCACTATTCTTAATCTACCTACTTTTGAAATAGGAAGATTCTAAAGTTACGGAGGGAGTATGATTTTATTAAGTAAAATACTCCCTTTGTCCCTTCTTATTTAGTCAAACACTATTTTTCAAGTCAATTATGTTACGCTTTGATGGATTATAAATCTATACACGATAATGTTGATAATATGAAAATGATAATATGAAAATGATGTGAAAATGTTCTTTGTTAAAAAATCTATGATAAAAGTATAAATTTATTAATATTCACATAAATATATTAGTTAAAATGATGTACCAAAGTTTATCATCTTTGATCAGAAAAGTTAAAGTTGGCTAAATAAAAAGGGACGAAGGTAGTAAGTGCTATTGAACTTATAGTATGATCCATATGATACTTGAGTTTTTTTCTGTATTAATGCTAATTAATTAAATAATTATGAAAATAGGGTTGGGTTAAAAGTATTTACGGATATACTGTTGGGCTTAACCCTGGTCAGGGTAAGTCGCCAAACCATTTGGCGACTCATAAGTCACCCAACCGGATGGCGGCTTATATATAAGTCGCCAAATGGTTGAGCGACTTACCCCTGCCATATTAAATCCATATTTATTCCATTTCAGAACATCCGAAACCTGTTTGACTGAGATAAGATGGTTTTGTTGTTTAGTTTTAGTAAGGGAAAATCACTTATTTAATCGATTATAACATTTGTTTAAAATGCATATTCTAATTTATTAAGTATATCTTATTTTTGAACTAATTCGAAACATACCTTTTGGAAAGTTTTTTGTGGCTACCATTCATTTACCTTTTTCTTACTCAACCACAACCATACATTTCCACTTTATTCCCACTTTCTTAAACTCTTATTCAAGTCAATGCGGGAACAATTTTATGGGACGGAGAGAGTATTATACTCCCTCCGTCCCACTAGAAGATTCCCGTTTCAGTTTACGATGTTTGACTGATGATAAAGCAACTTAATCCCTGTTCACGCTCTGATTATTTTTAGTAAATAAAACTTAAATATTCATAAACTACATTAAAACCACTATAAAGCCTCATAAAAAATGTAAATTCAATAAAAATTTGATATATAAAGCAAGAAATTAAAATGATTTAAGTTGATCATATGAATAGTGGACGGGAACCTTCTAATGGGATGGAAAGAGTATTAAAATTACATCCATAAGCAAAACAATTATCATGTACCTTTTATATATATACAGTCTAGCTTATTTATCTAAATCTTAAGAGTTTTTTATAAGAATATTACTAAAATAAAACTTATTTACATAAATATGACTATTCATTACTACAACACAGTGTTGTGGTAACTTAAGTTCAAAACTTGAACATGAATTACTATGATTTCATTACTACTCTAGTAACTAGTCATATTTTGGCAAATCATCTTTATTTTGGACATATTTATTTAATTATTTCAAATCTTAAACACCAATTTTAGTGTCACGATATCATATGTAATTAATAAAACTTCCCGATATCTGAAACTCTCGACCGACATATATTAAGATTATATTAATATATACTGGGAGGAAATAGTATAAAGACCCCGAGCTTTTGAGGTATGTGGGGTAAACACCCCAACTTTATGTAAAGAGTTATTTTAGCATCATAATCATATTTTTTTCTTTTTATTTTTTATTTGAACAAAATCATATGTTTTTTCTTTCACAAATGTAATTTTATAAAATTACACTATAACTCTGTTCTAAAAATCGTTCTAGCCGCCCGACTAGTCCCCGCCTAGGCGCTAGGCGGTGGTCGGGCGCCCCGATTTTCGTCTAGGCGCTCCGACTAATTGGTTTGCCGTCTAGGTGAATTATTCGGCCGCCTATGGCGCCTAGTTGCCCGCATAGAGCGCCTAATCGGTCACCTAGGTCGTCTAGATTCGCCGAACATTACTTTACTTTTTAATTTTAACTTTTTAAGCGATATACATACTTTAAGTTTAGCCATGAATATAAAGAAATGAAGTTGTAAATTAAGATAAAACTATATATGTTTGTATGTATGCCTAAATTTTATCATTATTTATATTTATAACATAATGAAGTTAAGTAATTAGTTATCATATACTACGTATGATTAAATGTGATAATTTTATCATTCATGTTTGTTAATGTATATGTATATATGTATTTTATACACACTAAAATTCAATATTACTTATCATATTTATGGAAAAATATAGATAAAAATGCAATTTCTATGTCTCCGACTAGTCCCCGACTAGGCACCCGCCTAGCAATCTAGGCGCCAGGCGCTGGGCTGGCGCCCGACTAGCGCCTAGCGCCTTTTAGAACACTGCACTATAATTATAGTTTTAAGTAATTTACTTAAATATTATACTACCCCCGCCCCATTTAGATTGTCCCATTTTTCTTTTCGGAAAACCCACCATGATTGTTCATACCAAAAATCATAAAGTTTGTGTGGCTCCAAATCATTTTTATATTATTCTTACTTTATCAATTCAATATCAATCACATAAACTCATTATTCTTAATAATCTTGTCATTCCCTCATGTCCCAATGTTAGTGGGTTGATGGCAGTAATAATTTTTGAGTGTGCAATTAACATTCTAAACACACTTGTTAATGTGTTTTATTTAAAATATTGCAGCTTAGATAATAATTTCATCCATATAAATGCCAAAAACATTTTAGATTTTATATTTTAAACATATGTTTCTTTAAGTGTTGTAACATTTTTATTTGTACTCCAACTATCACAAAAAATATCTAATTCATAAGAGAGTATTTTTAAAGTGTTAAATTGTTTTTTTTTTATATATTCAATATTGGTGTCATTTGAAAGATAATAAAAAAGTTATGAAATTTGATATATTTTTTGTGACAATCAGAGTACAAACAAAAAAGTTATAGTACTTTAAAATAAACATGGGATTTTATTTTTTGAATAAAAATTTATAGCTATTTAAAAAGTTTTTTAAGTATTGGTTGTTACGTAGGATTCTGCTTAGTCTTAAATTAAGGTGAGTTCTAATCTAAGTTATATACTATTCTAATGGAAGTATAATTAATTAATATACTCAATTTGAAAAAAAAAAATCTACAATATTATAATGAGTGTTTGTTTAGAAGATGACATGTGTCAAAACTTTCCATAATTGTATCTTTGAAAGGTATTATTTATAGATAGATATGGATTTAATATGGCAGGGGGAAAGTCGCCAAACCGTTTGGCGACTTATAAGTCGCCCAACCGGATGGCGACTTATGGTTTGGCGACTTTCCCCGACCATGGTTAAACCCAACAGTAGATCGGTAAATACTTTTAACCCAACATTATTTTCGTAATTAATTAATTAAATAGCATTACTTCGAAAAAAAACTCATGATACTTTATGGAAGTTTGAGTTTTCAGGTATACTGATATTATTAAAGTTGTGTGAGTGCACTTTAAAAATGGGAAAATGAGTACCATGGGTTAGGCATTCTATTCTAACTCAACAATTTCATTGAAAACTTGGTGGCTTGGAGCTATTTTGAAACATTTATTTATAGAGCTAAATGATATCATTGCATAAATTCATACATGAATAGAATTCATATTCATGATTTTGAAATGCTTTTAAGATTTGTTTTCTCAACTAGATCATAATTAAGGAATTAGTTTTTGAGATCCTTACTATAATTTTTGTAGTCCCTTTTTATATTTTAGTACCAAATCATGTGTCATCGTCTCACGTATGGTGATAAATAAAAATTCTCATAAATATTTTTTTTAAATATGAACGATTAACTCCATAATAAGATAGTTTAACTGTTCTATCCCTATCTCAATTCTACTTGTATGGTGATTAACTCCATAATGAGCTAATTAACTCCAAATTTTAGTTGTGGACACTTTCAAGAGATTTGTTGAATTCTAATCTAATATATAGTTCTAAATTCTAGGGAGGACTCGATTAAAAATGTTTTTAATTGGACTATTTTTTTTGTCAGAATTTTCTATTATAATCGAATCTGATTTGATTTGATTTGGTATGATATGATCTGGTCGGTCATATTATCTAGACATTTGTCAGCTGTTTTTACCAAAAAGATTTAAATTGTTCAACTAATAGTTCAGATGCAACATTTCAAAATTCAGGTCGAGACAATAGTCTCTAGTTCAAACAATAAACATTAATTCATACATTAGTCTCCACCTATAGCTCGAAATGCTAAACATATCCCTAATCTATGAGCCCGTTGGGCACCTTTTTTTGAACTTATAAGGCAACTTTTTTTACCATGATCTGACATGTAGATTTGACTTTGCGCGTTGAATTGAAAATTTGTCAAAATAAAACTGTGTGGTAATTTTATGGTTGAATTTACTGTAAGGCACCATTTTAGCTATTTCTTATTTATCATTTTCTTAAATTTACTAACGATGTACATTTTAAATATAATATTTCAATGATTTAATGATAATCAATGCAGTCATTTCAACCAGAATTTTATAATTGCAATAGATTTCTATGATTCAGTCATGTTACCAAATGGGTCATGCATTAAAGAATTACTTTATGGGTCTCCTAAAATTACTAAACTTAACGCATGTAAGAAAATTTTACCCTTTTTAATTTCTTTTATTAAAAGCGTTTCTCATCACATTTCAACAACCTTAAACATTTTTTTTAACTTTCTAACGTACGAAAAGTGATACATATTTTTTAATTTCTTAATGTTATTTAAATTTCT